CCTTAGCAAAGGGCCCCGGACCCCGTACTCCCGGAGCACCCGCCACAGGGCGCTGCGAGGGACACGGTTGAATGCCTTTTCCAGATCCACGAAACACATGTGGACAGGTTGGGTAAACTCCCATGAACCCTCCGCCACCCTGAAGAGGGTATAGAGCTGGTCCAGTGTTCCACGGCCAGGACGAAAACCGCATTGTTCCTCCTGAATCCGAGGTTTGACTATCGGTCGAATTCTCCTCTCCAGTACCCTGGCATAGACTTTCCCGGGGAGGCTGAGGAGTGTGATCCCCCTATAGTTGGAACACACCCTCCGGTCCCCCTTCTTAAAAAGAGGGACCACCACCCCGGTCTGCCAGTCCAGAGGCACTGTCCCCGACCGCCATGCGACGTTGCAGAGGCGTGTCAACCAAGACAGCCCAACAACATCCAGAGACTTAAGGTATTCAGGTTAAAACCACTGACTGTAAAGCGATGGACAGGCTATGAGCTCCCAGAAGTGAAGCCACCAAAACATGATTATTGAGATGTGGTACAACCTGGAACTGCTCCAAAGAAAATTAAATGGGGAGTGATTTCCAAAACCCTTTTGTACATGTTGGCTTCTGCAGAGTTGTGCTTTGGTGTCATACAGCTGGTTCAGAAACAAACTTAATTTCTGTCTTTGACCAGAAATGCTCACAGTGACAATGTTAACCATATTTACCATCACAGTTTGACATATAGCATGCTAACATTTGATTATTATTGCTGAAAAACAAAAGTACATCCACGGCTGTGAGGATTCATCTGGTTATACAAACTAGCACTGTAATAAATATCCCAGTATTATACTAAAACGGTCTGCTTGCTGAACGCCGGCCACCATACTAGCTGTATAAAATATAGACGCCATGACAGCTCCCAGAAGTGAAGCCACCACAAGTCGATCGCTACCTGGTGGCTGGTTGCAATATAGGTCATAAATCCCACCTTCTCCATCTTGGTGGGTGAGACATAATCCAAACTAAAAACTCAAAGTACAAATCAAATAATTTTGTCCGAGTGGTGATTTCTGTGTTTTTTTTGTTTTTTTTTTTGGTACATACTACTGAGCCGGTCTGTGTACCAGTATCACTTTTCTGGTAAATTTGTTTTTAGTAAGTTATTTGCTGGTATAAAAAGGCGTGTATTTTTGATTGGCAGCCTGATACGTCACTTAACTACGTGGTCACTACTGCATAGAATCTGGAGGGAAGTGATGATGTGTTGTCTATATTTATACAGTCACTGGGCTGTACTTAGGTACAATAGTGCTAAATGCTAATATTAGCATGCTAACATGATCACACTGACTATTGCATAGATATACAATACTAGCACAATCATATTTAGGAGGCATTATGTTCACCATCTTAGCTTAATATGTTAGCATGCTAGCATTCACTAATTTAAACTGAAAATGTGGCCAATTTTAATGCTAGTATTTTTGCAAGTATTTGGTCAGTATTGGACAAATTGAAATTCTGACACGCTGGTGGCACTAGAAGAGAAATCAGAAGATCACCAAAGTTATTACTATATATCTTGAGGAGACCATGATTGTGTGTAACAGTTTTTATGGCAACCTGATAGTTGGCAAGATATTTTACAGTGCAATTAGTGAGTAAAAAAAAATGTATGTACATTTACATAAATTCAATGTCAAATCCAAAGAAAAATTTAATTACACTATAGCTTTGAATGTATTGGGATCTCTTCAATAATATTTCATGATTGACTCTTTATGGTATTAATGACATAATTAACAATTATCAGAGGATTTACATATATACGTGATGATTGTGTCATCAAACAGGTAATGAATGCAGAAAAGAAACAAAGCTACAGTATATGTAGAGCTGTACACTTCTATATCTTGCACATACTTTTGAAAAGTAAAGCCAAGTACATAAAAAAAAAAAATCTTACAATAAAATTTGACTTTAGAAAAAAAGTACAAAATCACCCCCATGTTATTTAAAATTCTCCACTTGCCAGCTGGTGACTTGACATGCACATAATGTATGTGAATTACATACAGAGGATCTACAAAGGCTTTCAGCGATTTCACACTCACAGGACATGGAATCAGTACAAAAAGAAATGGTTTGATTCATTATTCTCACACACACACACACACACACACACACAGATGCTATATTGTGTAATATCAATGACAACTCATATAGGCTTTTATAGTGTCAAATCTGACACACACTGATGTGTTATCTTCTTAAGGCACCCGGTGATATAAAAGTGAAAGGTGTATGCACAGCTTTACTGTCAGCCTCATAAAGAGCGTGGAAGCACAATTTATTACATTATACACATCCAAGTATTTTTATATGAAGCCCTTTATCTACAGAACAGCTTCCGTCACATCTGTTTTCCTCGTAGACATTCATTAAAGCCTTTCGTCCACTTTGGATCGTCTTTAATCCAAAGTCTGTGGTTCGGATCCATAACAGCACCACCGTCCAGAGAAAAGTTCCACACCAACGTCCGCACATGTCAGGTTTGTCTTTCAATTTAAAGTTTTTGGGACGAGGTTGATGCGATGCCCTCAGCTGCTTATGACTGTTTTACCATGTAGAGAAACTCTCATCCATACCAAAACAAACTCTGTTGTACTCAGATGAGTTCGCTCTTTAAAAGTTTCCAGCCCAAATCTGACGAGCACTGAGCTTCAGTTGATTTTAAAGATGCTGAAGACATGAGGCGAGGCGGAGGGGCTCCCAAGAGTGTGGAGTTTGAAGGACGGACCTGTGACGGCCTGCAGCTCTGTGCCTTTGTCCAGTCGCAGCAGGCCAGACACCTGGCATGACTTCACAAAGTGGAACAGGTGTGGCCCGGCGGAGGGGGTCGTTGCGTAGCCCTCTATGCACTGGAGCTTCTGAGGCCTCTGGCCCTTGGTCACCACATCCAGCTTCACGTATTGAGTCTGCTGGTCATTGAACAGCACCTGAGAAGACAGAGTAAGATGATCATCCCAGAACTTGACGTCCTTCTTAGCAGCACAATTAAGTTATGGAGAGGGCTTGAGCTAGACTATGTAAAACCTGTTTCTACAAACATAAAACTAACCACACTGTCATGGAATTTCCAAGGTCCCACTATCATAATTTTTTCATTATCTTTGTTCCCTTTTGGCTCGATTTTCTCCAGACCTCTGTCAACTTGACAAGACGGAGGTCTGGCTACACAAGATTACCCGAAACCTGATATCCACCTCTCCGACAAACACGCGTACCACTACAGTATGACTGATAGTTGTACAAAATAAAGGCAGTTTTTATATAACTGCTTCGTCCAAGACTTGAGTTGATTCACCCTAGTCCCTAAAAGGTTTTGGCAATGAAAACTCAATGTTACTTGTGCAAACCTGGATCTGGATATTGTTACAAAACTAAAACCAGAGTTTCAGGTTTCACAGCTCATATTGAAGAATATAAAGATCTCTCCTACAAAACACTTCTTTGTTAAAAAAGACAAAATGCATTAGTGTACAAGCTTTGTCTGCAGCCCTATGAGATCCTTCTCTGAATAAAACAGTGTAAAAAGAAATAAGTTATTATTTAATTTGGAAATAATTCAAATATAAGTAAGGCCAATGATCCTACCTAGCGTTCAGTGCCATGTTGTAGTGCTTGGCTGTTGTCAACACTTAAAGTCCTAGTTGAAAATCTTAGTATGCTGCATTTCATTGTGTTTTTAATTTTCGTTGTGTGACATAAAGCTGCATTCATTGATTTTTGTGGCCACCTGGGTTAGCGGAACAATCAGAGAATACATATTATTGCCTGATAACGTTGATGTGGCGAATTTATTAGCAAACAGTTGTCTTTACACATCCAGCAGACATAAAGAAGCATTAGCTTTATATAGAGTATTGTTTGTCTTACTTGATGAATATAATGTTCACTCGCCTCGTTCAGAGAATTCTTTCAATTGTAGCAGAGTGAAATCCAATTTCAGGTGAGAGTAGGACTAGGTAAGACCTGCAGGTAAGTTCACAGATCCCCCCCCCCCCCCGATTATATAAATCTGTGAAGCATTTAAACATAGTGATTTAATCTCTTGTTAATATAAAAATATTGACTAGTGTAACTTTAAATTGAGGAATGTGGTGATGGAAAAAAAACCAAACAAACTATATTTCAGGCTTTTCTCTACCATAGAAAGGGTTAGGGGCTGCGCCCTATTCATTTTGTGGAGCACCTAAGCCGAATGAATGTAAAAGGTGACTTACTGTATCATACCGATTGTTTAAAAAGTGTTGGAATATATTCACTGAAAAATAACAGACAGGTGACTTGATCTCAAAATTAAATGTAAGATGGCAACAGGAATGACCTGTCAATCAACAACAAGTGTTTGGACAAATGTTTGTGTGATTGGCAGCATCACCAAGCTAACCAAACAGCTGACTGGATATTTCTCTGTACCATCAACTCAGAACGGTAGTTACAGTCATCGGTAAGTTTTGCCTCCACAAAGAATACTTGAAGTAGGCTATTATTCTGTTGGGGAGTCATTCTTGTGAATGGTCATAATCGAGATAACAGCTAATGTAGCTAACATGTACTGAATTAGCTAAGTGACGTTAGCCAAAGAAGCTATCTGATTGATTGGTTAGTTGGTTGATGCTACATAAATAAAATTATAAATAAGATCAAATTTCCTTGGAATAGTTTTAAATCATGCCTAAGCCACCTGAAACCTTGGGGAAAACCCTGAACCTATATCGTGGTGTAGTTTGGAACCTGTTTGTAGTTCACCACTGTTCATAAACTACAACTCCCAGCACAAACTCACCTGACAGAACAGGAAGTAGACGCCTGTTTTCTCCACAGTGAAGGTGCCTTGCTCTTTGTTGTACTTCACGGCTTTACTCATATTCAACGTTCTCTCTTCCCAGCCCTTTATCACACCACCTTCTCCCACTGACACAGACACACACATGGTAGGCTATATCAAAGGTTATTAATCTTATAGACAAGTGATTAACAGATTATCCTCCATCACTGATTAAGACTTACCTTGCTGAGAGGAGACTTTGGTTACTGGTGGAGAGTAAAATAGACATTGAAAGAGAAAACAAAGCGAAAGTCAATTAGGATTTTATGAATGCAATTGTACTGGGGTATATGATTGAAACCACTTTAGCAGATGCTACCAGAGCCAGCTATAAGGGATCTGCCAAGTCACTTACTCTCAAAATGAGATGCCGCTTTCCTTCCATTTCCATTCCTCGCTTGAGACATCCCCCCTTCAGAAGGCAAAGAAAGACAGAATACGAGTTTGATTGGCAAAGGAAACAACGTCTGAGTTTTTGTGTTTTTTTTTTTTTTTTTTGATGAAACAATCATAATCAACCTTTCCTCTCTAATAATATGATGCATTAATTTGCAGCCATTTAGATTCAACCTGGCTTGTCTTAACACAGTTAGCAGATATGCTTCATTATATTTCCTCAATCTGTTATTTCCAGTCAGAAGCATGTGCCTCTTATTTTATTTTTTACTGTGGGGGCTGGTTTTAGTGCCAGCTGGTTGCAGTCATCTAGAATATACAGAGACAGAAGAGGTAAGGAGGATGTAGGGGGGTGGGAGACAGAAAAAGACTAGATGGACAGCGGAAGATAAAATGAGAGAATTAAATGTAGCTTGACAGACAAAGCTAAGGATGCTAAATAAGAGAAATGAAGTGTTGAGGAAAAAAAATGTCAAAAAGGTCTTTGGCTGCACTGTGACCCAAGAGAGTCGATGAAGAACAGAGTGAAGCAACAGCTATGGCTCCCACTTGGATAAATACAATAAATGAAACGACACTAAAAGGCCAGCACTCAAGAACGCCTACTCTTATTACTCATTAATGGTTTATTTTAGCTTTGCAAACTGGCCTGTGGGGAGCGACATCAAACAGATACGAATAGAAGGTAGTATGTATGAACTGTGAAATTCATACTTTGTTTTGAGACGAAGCAGCCAAACACTAGGCCCCTGTCGTTACACGGGAAGTCTCTGCTAAAATAACACACAGGTGGGTGACCCTGTACACTTGGCATTTGCTATGGGTGAGCGCAGAGCCCTCAGGCTGGCCAGAGTTTCCTGATTTAAGCTGTCAGTCATCAGCAGAGAATATAACCGCAGTGTCCTGCTGCAGTGCTCCACAAACTGGAAAATGTTTGGGGCTCTCCCCCCCCGCTGATGGCTACAAATTTCTAAACACTGTTTAATGCATTTGGAAGACAAAATCAGATATCAGTTACTAGAGCAAAAAGCCAAGTCTTGCTGGATATCGGTATAGATATTCTGGCGAGACACGCAGTTCCCTACAAGGATCCTTTTGTCAAATCTGGATTTTCATCTGAGTTCTAGGACACAACGTGAACAATCAAGCCATCCCGTGATGGTGACGCAAGCACGGGCTATAAATACAGCAATGATAGGTCATCAAATATCACTGCTTTCACAGCAAATCATAGCTGTGTCAGTCGTCAGCATGCAACAAGGCCTCGCTCCCGTGCCAGCTGGTTTTCTGGGCTTTGAGGTCTTTCTGGTCAGACCTGTAATTTCTGAAACGGCTATCCAGCTGCCTACTTCTTCCTGTGTCAACTTTTAGCAGTGGGTAGTGCCTTGCGGCCTGCTAGACCTGACCAAAGTGGCGTGTGGGCCAAGACTGGCCAGCCTTTGTGTTCAATGTTCTTCCCAAAAATACAAGTGCGCTTGTTGAGTACATTGTGTCCGTGGTGATTTGGACAGCTAAAGTGTACACAAAGTTACATATTGGAGGAATTTTGATTTGCAGTACCGTCTCTCTTGACTCTCTGTCCCACCAGCAGCTCTCTCTTCTCTAGAATGAGCTGAACAATGGCCTTCCTCTGTGTATTGACCTGTTGATAGAGAGAGAGAGAGAGAAACAACATTAAATAATGTCCAATGAGTTTATTATGACTTTTTGTTGGCACAGATCCTGCAGAGCCACAGGCGGCCTATTCCAGCCACATAAACAGGCACATCTTTTCCAGTATCCTGCCCCTGCTGACATGCCAGCTTTAGAATAGGTCTACCACTTCCTCAGAGACTGGTTGCGACACCTAATGCATGTTTTTAGTGCTTTGCATTCCTCACATGTCCTTACCCCCGTTTTTGAGAAAGAAAAGAGTTTTGTCAAGCCAGCAAAGTTTTCAATCCTTGGCTGGGGGCCCAATGAATGACTGAAGGAAGCCTATGTGAAGTAAGAGGAGAAGTAGCTCAAGAAAAGTATGTTTAAATTTACCACTACTGTGGAAATGGAGGCAGCGAGTTGCTCTTCGCTCTCCAGACATTCACTCACTGGCTCTCATCAGAAGTTGGCAAACCGTCAAATGGACAGAACGGGGCCCTTTGGTAAGGGTTCCAGCATCAACACTCCACGTGTCCAACTTTGAGGTGTTTGTGTGTGTGAGGGAGAAACTTTGTGTGTGTCTGAGCAGG